ACACCACCTCCCTTTCCCCGGTTACTGACCCCGGCTGACAGCTGGAAGTTGGTCACATCGCGTGTCACAGTGATAGTCTCTGTACTCAATGACGTCATTCTCTTTGTTGGCGCATCCTACCGGGAATTATATATGGTATATGAAACATAACATTCCTAAATTATATTATGTGCTTCTCCGTCTGTCTACAACCATCAACCATTAAGATGTGACCCCAACTGTTCCAACCCGTAATTATATTGTATACTCCTCCGTCTGTCTACAACCATCAACCATTAGGATGTGACCCCAACTGTTCCAACCCGTAATTATATTGTATACTCCTCCATCTGTCTACGCCAGGAACTGGAAATATTCTGCCAAATACATGGGTGACATTGGAACTGTATAACTAATGTGAGATATAGAGGCTAACTAATAGACCAGTATAGTCTACTAATAGTCTCACGTGTGGGAGCGACTGTGATGGCATTGTTCATCACTAACATTGACATGTAACCCGGTATGTCCTAACCAGTAATTATATCTGTCTACAACCGTCAACCATTAGGACGTGACCACCTATCTTCCAACCCGGAATTATATTGTATACTCCTCCATCTGTCTACAACCATCAACCATTAGGACGTGACCCCAACTGTTCCAACCCGTAATTATATTGTGTGCTTCTCCGTCTGTCTACAACCATCAACCATTAAGATGTGACCCCAACTGTTCCAACCAGTAATTATATTGTATACTCCTCCATCTGTCTACAACCATCAACCATTAAGATGTGACCCCAACTGTTCCAACCCGTAATTATATTGCATGCTCCTCCGTCTGTCTACAACCATCAACCATTAGGATGTGACCCCAACTGTTCCAACCCGTAATTATATTGCATGCTCCTCCATCTGTCTACAACCATCAACCATTAGGACGTGACCACCTATCTTCCAACCCGTAATTATATTGTATATTCCTCCATCTGTCTACAACCATCAACCATTAGGACGTGACCCCAACTGTTCCAACCCGTAATTATATTATGTGCTTCTCCGTCTGTCTACAACCATCAACCATTTGGACGTGACCCCAACTGTTCCAACCCGTAATTATATTGCATGCTCCTCCGTCTGTCTACAACCATCAACCATTAGGATGTGACCCCAACTGTTCCAACCCGTAATTATATTGCATGCTTCTCCATCTGTCTACAACCATCAACCATTAGGACGTGACCCCAACTGTTCCAACCGTAATTATATTGCATGCTCCTCCGTCTGTCTACAACCATCAATCATTAGGATGTGACCCCAACTGTTCCAACCCGTAATTATATTGTATACTCCTCCATCTGTCTACGCCAGGAACTGGAAATATTCTGCCAAATACATGGGTGACATTGGAACTGTATAACTAATGTGAGATATAGAGGCTAACTAATAGACCAGTATAGTCTACTAATAGTCTCACGTGTGGGAGCGACTGTGATGGCATTGTTCATCACTAATATTGACATGTAACCCGGTATGTCCTAACCAGTAATTATATCTGTCTACAACCATCAACCATTAGGACGTGACCACCTATCTTCCAACCCGTAATTATAGTGTATGCTCCTCCATCTGTCTACAACCATCAACCATTAGGACGTGACCCCAACTGTTCCAACCTGTAATTATGTTGTATGCTCCTCAATCTGTCTACAACCATCAACCATTAGGACGTGACCACCTATCATCCAACCTGTAATTGAAGCACTGCAGTCTGTCTACAATCACCAAGCATTAGGACATGACCCCATATCTTCCAGCCTGTAATTGAAGCACTGCAGTCTGTCTACAACCACCAAGCATTAGGACATGACCCCATATCTTCCAGCCTGTAATTGAAGCACTGCAGTCTGTCTACAACCCCCAAGCATTAGGACATGACCCCATATCTTCCAGCCTGTAATTGAAGCACTGCAGTCTGCCTACAACCCCCAAGCATTAGGACACGACCCCATATCTTCCAGCCTGTTATTGAAGCACTGCAGTCTGTCTACAACCCCCAAGCATTAGGACACGACCCCATATCTTCCAGCCTGTAATTGAAACACTGCAGTCTGCCTACAACGTCTTAACCTAATGCTGTAACACCAGATGTGTATCCTGGTAATGTAACTGTATGCACTGCCGCCTGTCTACAACCACCTGTCATTAGGATGTTTTTTCTATAAACTAGTATGTAAAGATTAACGCCGTTTATTTATCATGTAAATTCATAAATATCTGATCGTAAATGTAAAATTGTTGTAAATGTAACCTCTACTGGTAATGTGTTTGTTGATCGATTTTCCCCTCGAGGGTATTTTACCTTTAACGTTTTGATAAAGCACATGGCAACTGTCGTTTACAGAGGTCCACGTATTCATCAAACATAGAAGGAAAAAGGCCGCAGCTTCAAGTACACAATGGGTAGGACGAGTGACAATATCCCACTGTTGTCCTCCTACAGCCATCTGTTGCTGGTGTACTTCTCTACTGACAATATATCTTCTCCGGTCTCCTGACCAAAGGAGAAGATAAGTTTCTTGATAGGTTCCCTGACAATATGACAGCCTGGTTGGTCCTACGACAGACGTATCTGTCACATCACGGCGAGATATACATTATCACTTCGTTAGTAACAACATTCCACAAATTAATATTCAGTTCTTTATCAACGGTTAGCTTTTCGTACTACAATAAACTCTCTGCGAGCTGATTCAGAGAAGCGGAGTCCCCTTCTGCCACACACTGTTAAGTACCTCCATCATAAAAGGATGCCAGAAGAAAAAGAAACATTTCCACATTAATCGATCATCCCTGTCAAGTCCTTATCGATAAGATATCCTCCCCGACAAGGCACCAAAGGTTAGTGTATCCGAACATGATGGTCTCAGGTCAGTGAACATGTGAACTCGCCTTCAGCCATATAATATGTGTTTTGTGAAGTTAGCCCCAATGACATTTAACGTATATGTTCACCATACACGTGCCCGAGTAGGTTTCACTGGTGTGTTCACTAGACTTTCACTGACGTGTTCACTGTATAAGTGCCCGAGTAGACTTTCACTTTACAAGTGCCCAAGTTGACTTTCACTGACGTATTCACTAGACTTTCTCTGACGTGTTCACTGTGCATGTGCCCGAGTAGACTTTCACTGTACAAGTGCCCAAGTTGACTTTCACTGACGTGTTCACTGTACATGTGCCCAAGTAACCTTTCACTGACGTGTTCACTAGACTCTCACTGACGTGTTCACTGTACATGTGCCCGAGTAACCTTTCACTGACGTGTTCACTAGACTTTCACTGACGTGTTCACTGTACATGTGCCCAAGTAACCTTTCACTGACGTGTTCACTAGACTCTCACTGACGTGTTCACTGTACATGTGCCCAAGTAACCTTTCACTGACGTGTTCACTAGACTTTCACTGACGTGTTCACTAGACTTTCACTGACGTGTTTACTAGGCTTCCACTGAAGTGTTCACTAGACTTTCACTGACGTGTTCACTGTACATGTGCCCGAGTAGACTTTCACTGACTTGTTCAGTAGACTTTCGCTGATGTGTTCGCCATACACGTGTCCGAGTAGGTTTCACTGGTGTGTTCACTACATGTTCACTGGCGTGTTCATTAGACTTTAACTGACTTGTTCACTGTACAAGTGCCCAAGTAGGCTTCCACTAACGTGTTCACTGGACTTTCACTGACTTGTTCACTGTACATGTGTCCGACTGGACTTTCACTGACGTGTTCACTGTTCATGTGCCCAAGTAGGCTTCCACTGACGTATTCACTAGACTTTCTCTGACGTGTTCACTGTGCATGTGCCCGAGTAGACTTTCACTGTACAAGTGCCCAAGTTGACTTTCACTGACGTGTTCACTGTACATGTGCCCGAGTAGACTTTCACTGACGTGTTCACTAGACTTTCACTGACGTGTTCACTGTACATGTGCCCGAGTAGACTTTTACTGTACAAGTGCCCAAGTTGACTTTCACTGACGTGTTCACTGTACATGTGCCCGAGTAACCTTTCACTGACGTGTTCACTAGACTTTCACTGACGTGTTCACTGTACATGTGCCCAAGTAACCTTTCACTGACGTGTTCACTAGACTCTCACTGACGTGTTCACTGTACATGTGCCCGAGTAACCTTTCACTGACGTGTTCACTAGACTTTCACTGACGTGTTCACTGTACATGTGCCCAAGTAACCTTTCACTGACGTGTTCACTGGACTCTCACTGACGTGTTCACTGTACATGTGCCCGAGTAACCTTTCACTGACGTGTTCACTAGACTTTCACTGACGTGTTCACTAGACTTTCACTGACGTGTTTACTAGGCTTCCACTGAAGTGTTCACTAGACTTTCACTGACGTGTTCACTGTACATGTGCCCGAGTAGACTTTCACTGACTTGTTCAGTAGACTTTCGCTGATGTGTTCGCCATACACGTGTCCGAGTAGGTTTCACTGGTGTGTTCACTACACGTTCACTGGCGTGTTCATTAGACTTTAACTGACTTGTTCACTGTACAAGTGCCCAAGTAGGCTTCCACTAACGTGTTCACTGGACTTTCACTGACTTGTTCACTGTACATGTGTCCGACTGGACTTTCACTGACGTGTTCACTGTTCATGTGCCCAAGTAGGCTTCCACTGACGTATTCACTAGACTTTCTCTGACGTGTTCACTGTACATGTGACAGAGTAGACTTTGTCATGTTCACTGTACATGTATCAGAGTAGACTTTCACTGACGTGTTCACTGTATATGTGCTCAAGTAGAACTTTCACTGTCCTTTACATTTCCGAGTAGACTCCCATTGACGCGTTCACTATAGATAGATAAATCGATAGGTGGGTAGATAGATAGATAGAGAGAGGTAGATATAGATAGATAGGTAGGTAGGTAGGTAGGTAGGTAGATAGATAGATAGATAGATGCTGTTGTATACGAAATGATAAGTCTAACTGACAATGGAATGATTTATTACACACAATGGGTGCATTCTTATGCAAGTTATGCGGCATATGTAGCTGCTGAAAATAGAACTCCAATGTAACGTAAAATATGACACGTTTAAAACAAAGACTGCTCCTGTGACCTACAGCAATCGATAAGATTCCAGTAGCACTGAAGCTCACCTGCATGTCCGTCACAATTCACGTGTGGATGCAAAAGACCGTATAAAGAAGCACAACATGTAATTGCATGAGACCCTAATATGAAGCTACCCTATGCCATCATCGTTACACTGTACAACACATGCTACAGTCATTGTGTCACCTCTGTTAAATATTGTCATAGTTAGGGGCAATAAATGATGAGACCTTTAGATAACTCTTCACGGAGAACCCTGTCTGTAGAATATGGACGATTGATCACCAAACGAAGTGTGCCTTGTATGGCTGTATACTTTAATCACCTTACCAGTTAATCTAACCAGTCTGTCTCAAACGAGTACCACAGAGTAATGTTTTTTTATACAGGTCATAATTCCTTATTTCGGAAGGGTTTGCATCTAGTATACGCTGTCTCAATGTGTCAACCTGTAGCAATGTGTCATGATGGCTGAGGGAATCCTGCATACCCGAACAATAACAACAAACCATCTATTAAAGGGAAAACACGTGGATTATCTCAATGAATGATGACTGTTTATATGTGTCTATAATACTGTTTCGTCACTATTGAAGGCGACCCTGGGATGTGTTGAATGACGTGACAAAGTGCATCAGACTATTGCCCTATGTCGGGAACTCTAAACCATATCCCATTGTTTCTGTTGCTCAGTCTTACGTCGCTAATGGCGATAGAAGTGTAATGTTACACGACTTTCACGTGCATGAACACATTGAGACAATTGCGCGCTTGGCATGGATGATACGAGATGAGTATTACGTCATGTGGTCACAAGGACGTTACGACATTAAGATAGTGATTACTTCCACGGCGACTGAAGAACGATACATTCCACAAGTGAACACATAATACAGGAAACACTATTTCTCCAAACAAATATTCAGGACTGCGCTGAAATAGACATGTACTCAAAATTAAACCTCATAAAATAAGAAAGAAATATCCCTTCCTTTTACAACTAATGAACGCCTTACTTGTTAACAAACATATTTTCCCTGGAGACGTAATTATGCCAAGATTCCGATTTTGCTCTTCCACACACTCAGCAAGTTTTGGTAAGTATGTTCCAAAATATCCCAACTCATGAGCTCAACAAAGTGTGAATGTCACAATGCGCAAGTATGATACAAATATAACTTATATGGATGATTAAACCAAGCATCAATAATGTCTCCTGTATCAGGTCAAGGCCGTTCCATCTTGTAAATGTTGGAGAAGAGCAAACAAGTGAGTTAGATCCCCAGTCTGTACACGAGCTGCCACTGCTACACCTAACACTCGAGTGACGTCCGACATCCGCGACAAATGTTCTGCCATGAGGTAAACGTTTTATCTCTGACTAGGTCACATATGCACGGAGCTGCCACGAGACTGAATCCAGAATCGTCCTAGACAGATGAACCTGGGACCCATCAACGTTCATGTGACCATTTTAGTTAGGAATGGAATTTAACCCGTGTGAATATATGCAAAAATGGCCTTCGCTTGGCAGGCGTAACTGTTCGTAAACCACGTAGTGATGGTCTTCTGACTTTTCTGCGCTTGCCCCATTTTCTGTTCTTGGGTAGCACAAGCTTAACCTCTCGCCCGCATCTGCGACAGTCTACACGAAGCTTCAGTATGCTAAGGGGTGGTTCCACAAGAGTCTGAATCAAGCTGATCGGCAGACTCAGCTTCTGCCATCTTGTTTTTTTCACTTTAGTCCGGAGGTACGTCAGGAGAACAAGACCCTGGTCCTTCAACTGAAACACTTTAAGTACTATACGCTTCCCCTTCTTACTTTTCCCGCGTTTTTTCACAAGTACCCACAGATTTGCACTGAGCACTTCCAACTCTTTTCTTTTTGTACTTGTATCCAGCACGAACTCCAGTATGCTTGCATCTTCTTTTCTTCCTGAAAAGAAGCACAAATTTTAAAAGTTAACAATTGACTATTACGTTGTAGAAAGCAGACAGTATCTGATGAAGAAGGTTAAGAATCAGAAAAATATGGTTCATCATCTCGGTCATCATCTCTGAGTAACACAGATATAACTCTGTCACTTAAGACAACAAATATCCAGCTATATCTACATTCACAAAGTCAAGACCTACCTATCGTCTGAGAGAAAGTGATAATTTCCTCCTTCTCAGTTTGTTGTGGGATAATGTGTTTTCTTGGTATTCCATCCGACTGCATGGGGGAGCCATGTCTCCCAATTCTCAAAGCTGTCTCAAGGCGCATGCGTATAAGCTGTAACCTCTTCAGTTGCTGGATGTCCTTGCCCAGAGATCCCCGGCAGTCGCTGCAGTTCTTGAAGTAGCCGGGTATGCTGAGGGCGCCCACTCTGCTGCTTGTCGGTGTGAAGACAATCAGAAATGATGCCATGAGGTAGGTGGCAAATGTGATCCCAACACTCACAGTGTCCATTTTATTCTTGGTTCACTTTGGTTACGTCAAACTAAACCTGAAAACCAAGCAGTTGACACAATAAACCACACGCGGGAATATAACCATGTATATATCTGCTGGATATCAGAAATACATGTAATGCTAATAAACGTTCATGATTTCAACACTCCAATTCACCCCAGCATGAAGACATTGCCGGTCACTACAGAAATGTCATACGCTTGCTCTGAAAAGTAAAGATTTCATTTCAGATCTGGAATATATATATATCAGGAATAATATACACGTGTTACAAACAACACGTTGACACCTTTCCTCCGGACAGAAATACATACATTTAGTAACTAAGGTAACATACACCTTTATTTATAACAACTTCTGGTTTATTGCAGCTGAAGTGACAGCTAGATAAGGGTGTAATGACACTACTTGGAGGCGCCGCAATATGCAGAGTTTCTGTCCGTAACGCATTACTCTACAACTTCAAGAACGCCAATCAATCACTGCCGAGTATTTCTTTACCAACGTGTCACAAATTGCGTGTAAATCGAAGCGACAAAACCTTTCCATATCCACAAGAAATCTCTGCTATCACTGTTGAGAACAATGCAGCATAACCTGATGCATACGTCGTCACAAACTAGAAATGATACATAACTAAGCCAAGATGTTCAATTAAGATCACATTCGGTTCTTTATTAAACTGACAATGACAAAATAAGCTTCCTCATGAATAAATAAATAGCCCTTCGACAAAAACATAATCTGCAATCGTCGAAATTGGTTTGTTATTTTCTTAATACATATCCATCAAACTTTTTAAACTACCAGGAACCCCCGCCCCGCTATAACAGAATTGAGTTGACCTGTGACATGCATCCATATCCTAGGGTCCGTCATTAGTGGAGTGTTCAAGGTACTGCGGTATTTGTGGAGAACTGGAGATAGAAATGTTGCAATGCTGAACATTTATGGACGAGCTATGGAATTGGCTGGAAGTTATATTCTGTGCACGATATGCTGGTGTTTGATAAAGTATAACAAGGACCCTTTTAGGCACACAAGGTCTGCACAATTCAGAAAGTGGGAAAAACTTTCAGAAATTCTTGTGAAAATTGTCAGGATTGTATGTGAAGGATAGACCGTGTTTCAATGCCTACATATTTTGTAATATTGATAACACAAAATGCAGAAGTAAGTTGATTCAAGAAGTTTTATTATTGTTTGAACTTGAACAAGTCTTTGAACGTTATGTTTAGAGGAGATCTAGCCATAGACTTTTGGTTAAAAACGCACATTTTGTAACAAATTTGCTTACAGTTAGATCACACTCGAAAACTGGCTAATTTCGGCCACACATTCTGTACTTGGTGATTTGAAACTAGCAATCATTGGTATCTAACGATAAAAAAAGGCTCGTAGAAATATAAATATGCCCCTGTATTCAGTTTTTGTTATTATTTGTTATTTCTGGAGGACCAAAAAGGGTCCTTATCATACCTGGTCCTTCAGCCTTGACGTGTTGGTTCCATGAATGCCCCTTCTTATGGGTACGTGACAGTCACTATGGAATCTGATTGACATCCCTGTAACAAGGTCATCATGGTGTGACAGATGAGGATGTCTAAACAAAAATACAATCAGACATGGCAATGCGCTATCAAAAAAGTAACTTTCCACTTAAATAGATATGTTTAAAATCCCGACAACGTAAACAAAAGAACCTCTTACTATCAGGACGGTTACTTCCATATTAGGAACAAGAAAACATGCTATAAAATGAATATCACGGGGCAAGAGGTCGGTAAAATGTAGGTTTATTTATGTCAATATCGTTATGTAAATTCTATCATGTAGAGAGAAGAGATGTTCATATGACAGCACAGGCCATCAGGTACATAGGCTGTTGACTAGTCGTGATTATGAAACTTCGATGATAGACAAACGTTCTACAGGCGGTGGCCACGAGAGTCAAACTGTTTTATGCACAGGCAAATCAGATCATGAAACAGGTCCGTCCCTCATTTCAGGCCGCGTGCGAAACTTGTTTGTCTCATGGTGACAGCGAGCCACATCTTTACACTGTCGCCATCACGATATGAGCATAATGTTAATGTTGGAACACGGAAAATAAGAGCTTCCGATTCCTCACTTAATGCCCTTACAGCCATACTTAAGTCATTAGACACCACATTAAACCGTACTGCGTGTAATAAACAGATACTTAGCGAACACTAAATACTTGACGTTGAACATGTGCTGTTCCTGACTGTAGGAGGTAATCACTTCCACTACCACCTTGAACACCTGTTATTGTCACAACGAACACAGCTGGTGGGGAGACTGACTGTAGGAGGTAATCACTTCCACTACCACCTCGAACACCTGTTATTGTCACAACGAACACAGCTGGTGGGGAGACTGACTGTAGGAGGTAATCACTTCCACTATCACCTCGAACACCTGTTATTGTCACAACGAACACAGCTGGTGGGGAGACTGACTGTAGGTGGTAATCACTTCCACTACCACCTCGAACACCTGTTATTGTCACAACGAACACAGCTGGTGGGGAGACTGACTGTAGGAGGTAATCACTTCCACTACCACCTCGAACACCTGTTATTGTCACAACGAACACAGCTGGTGGGGAGACTGACTGTAGGAGGTAATCACTTCCACTACCACCTCGAACACCTGTTATTGTCACAACGAACACAGCTGGTGGGGAGACTGACTGCAGGAGGTAATCACCTCCACTACCACCTTGAACACCTGTTATTGTCACAACGAACTGGTGGGGAGACTGATAGATATGATGGGTAGACACACAGCTGGTGGGTAGACAGACACAGCTAGTGAGTAGACTGACAGATATGATAGGTAGACAGACCCAGCTGGAGGATAGGAAGACACAGCTGGTGGGTAGACTGACAGATATGATTGGTACACAGACCCAGCTGGTGTATAGACTGACACAGCTGGTGAGTAGACTGACAGATATGATGGGCAGACAGACACAGCTGGTTGGTAGACAGACACAGCTGGTGGGTAGACAGATAGATATGATGGGTAGACAGACACAGCTGGTTGGTAGACAGACACATCTGGTGGGTAGACTGACAGATATGATGGGTAGACACACAGCTGGTGGGTAGGCAGACACAGCTGGTGAAGTAGACTGACAGATATGATAGGTAGACAGACCCAGCTGGTTGGTAGACAGACACAGCTGGAGGGTAGATTGACACAGCTGGAGGGTAGACAAACAGAGATGATGGGTAGACCAGCGCGTAGGGTGGGTGCCCTGACCCTGACTGGCGCTGAGGGCGGGTACACACAGACAGCTGGTGGGTAGAAAGACACACATGGTGGGTAGACTGATGAGTTGACCGGCGCGGAGGGCGGGTACACAGACACAACTAGTGGGTAGACTGACACACATGGTGGGTAGACTGATGAGTTGACCGGCGCGGAGGGCGGGTACACAGACACAACTAGTGGGTAGACTGATGAGTTGACCGGCGCGGAGGGCGGGTACACACATGGTGGGTAGACTGATGAGCTGACCGGCGCGGAGGGCGGGTACACAGACACAACTAGTGGGTAGACTGACACACATGGTGGGTAGACTGATGAGTTGACCGGCGCGGAGGGCGGGTACACAGACACAACTAGTGGGTAGACTGACACACATGGTGGGTAGACTGATGAGTTGACCGGCGCGGAGGGCGGGTACACAGACACAACTAGTGGGTAGACTGACACACATGTGGGTAGGCAGACACACATGGTGGGTAGACTGATGAGTTGACCGGCGCGGAGGGCGGGTACACAGACACAACTAGTGGGTAGACTGACACACATGGTGGGTAGACTGATGGGTGACTGACACACACACGGTGGGTAGACTGATGAGGGTTGACCGGCGCGGAGGGCGGCGCGGAGGGCGGGTACACAGACACAACTAGTGGGTAGACTGACACACATGGTGGGTAGACTGATGAGTTGACCGGCGCGGAGGGCGGGTACACAGACACAACTAGTGGGTAGACTGACACACATGGTGGGTAGACTGATGAGTTGACCGGCGCGGAGGGCGGGTACACAGACACAACTAGTGGGTAGACTGACACACATGTGGGTAGGCAGACACACATGGTGGGTAGATTCACAGATGGAAGGTAGACTGACAGAATTGATGAGCGGGTAGACAGACACAGATGCTGGATAGACTGACACTGCTGGTGAACGAGATACAGAATGGGGAGGAATCTGACGCTCTGATTCTAAGTTTTCATTTGTGATTTGATGATTGATGATAAAAAGTGCCTGGTTAACATAATCTTTGATGGAAAGATTGGTTGACTGACTAAGAAATGACAATATCGAATGACCATGGACTATCATCGACCACCCACTATCGACCAGTGAATGACTCAGATGTATTTTCACAGACAAGACCCAGGTGAACACGTACGCTGTGTCTACGCTGTGACAATGTCAGTGAGTAAGATTACGCACATTGTCTACAGCTAACACGGACAACTACTGTAAAGAGCAGATGGCCTCAACTGCAGGGGACACTTTACCTGCTTCCCTACTGACCTGTACGAGATCGACCGTCATCCGGCCGTCCACGCTAAACAAGGTATATTCTGTTCACCATTGGCCAAGGGCAGCCGGAATCACTGAGGCCGAAAGGCACCTGGGATGAGACCTACCGCATTCAGATTCTTCATTAACTTTTATTCAGGGAAATAACTAGTGCACTCTGGGACCGACTATCTGCGGTGCTATATAAATGTGCATACAATCCCCCCTTGCCTACCCACTCCGGTTCAACCCCTTCAAGCCCCGGCTGAAGAGAAAGGCTGTGTTTGTTTGGCCGTGTTAGAGGCTGCGGCGCGGTAGTTTTGTTGTTATTTGTGAGTTTCGTTGTTGCTTTTATGCAAGCTCAGAGGCTGGGAGACTCCACAAATGATGTTATTTGTGGAGTTAGTTTGTCTACACAGTAATGATTTATGGGCAGTGGGTGTATGGAGAATGTTTGGATGCGACATACACACACGAGGCAACACTCAACACCTACAGTGATTTACAGCTAGCAACAAGCTGCTCGCACAACATTTTGACACCGAACAGTGTACGTGATTGTCATGAACAGATGGGCTGGAACACAGACGAGGGAAGACGAGCATACCGTGTCAGTAGGTAATCCTAACGTATGTTCCTCAGCGGTGTATGGACAGGTTGGCTCTCACTTGTGAGCGAAAACAACAGTGATGACGTTATGACTAGATGAGATGAAAGAGGCGAACAGACCAACTTCAACACAATTACAACATACATGAATTGTCACGCGTTCTAATTTCCTTACTGCTCAGAAGTAAGTCAATCGGTTAAACAAACACCACCACGTTAATCAATTCATGTAGAAATGTCATTATTTACATTTCATGTATATAGTTATCGTAAAGGATGACTCAGATCGTGAAAAAATGACTTATCGAGCTTAGATGTCAGCTGCTAGAGGGGTTACCTAGTGGTCATGGATTAGCTAGTCATCCCAAATGTGAAGCCAATTTCTGGTATTCCCCCACCGTGGAAATGGCTAACATCAGGTCAATAAACCTCAGCACAATGTTCCAAGCCAGGCACATCCAGCATAGGGCTACATGTAAAGTCATACTTCCACACCTCCAGCATAGGGCTACATGTAAAGTCATACTTCCACACCTCCAGCATAGGGCTACATGTAAAGTCATACTTCCACACCTCCAGCATAGGGCTACATGTAAAGTCACAATTTCACACCTCAACCATAGGGCTACATGTAAAGTCACAATTTCCAACCTCCACCATAGGGCTGCATGTAAAGTCACAATTTCTCAGCTCCACCATAGGGCTTCATGTCATGTCAAACTTTCACAGCTGCACCATAGGGCTACATGTAAAGTCACAATTTCACAGCTCCACCATAAGGCTTCATGTTAAAGTCACAATTTCACAGCTGCACGATAGGGCTACATGTAAAGTCACATTTTTACAGCTGCACGATAGGGCTACATGTAAAGTCATAATTCCATACCTCCACCATAGGGCTACATGTAAAGTCACAATTTCACAGCTGCACCATAGGGCTACATGTAAAGTCACAATTTCCAACCTCCACCATAGGGCTACATGGAAAGTAACACTTTCACTGCTGCACCATAGGGCTACATGTAAAGTCACAATTTCACAGCTCCACCATAGGGGTTCATGTAAAGTCACAATTTCACAGCTCCACCATAAGGCTTCATGTAAAGTCACAATTTCACAGCTGCACAATAGGGCTTCATGTAAAGTCACAATTTCACTACTGCACCATAGGGCTACATGTAAAATCACAATTTCACAGCTGCACCATAGGGCTACATGTAAAATCACAATTTCACAGCTGCACCATAGGGCTACATGGAAAGTCACAATTTCACAGCTCCACCTTAGGGCTACATGTAAAGTCACAATTTCACAGCTCCACTATAGGGCTATATGTAATGTTACACTTTCACTGCTGCACCATAGGGCTACATGTAAAGTCACAATTTCCAACCTCCACCATAGGGCTACATGGAAAGT